AGTTTACATTTAACCACTTATATTAAGGTGTGTGCAAATATTCCATTCGGCATTAACTTGAAATAACAGACAATAGTTCATAGATTTTGGAGGTATTTACACCAATATACACCAGTTTTTATTTATTGTGATTTAATAACACTCAAATGAGTAAATAACATACTAGCGTAATATTTTGACTTTTTTTAAACGCTTGAATCAGATAAAGAAAAAAAAAATCTATATCATATTTATATTTCTCGGTAAAAAGTTGCCGCTTTTCAAGTCTTTATTTTGAAGTTTTTAATTCTTTTTTTATGTTCGTATACAGAAACCAGGGAAAACTGTTTCAAATTGTGATTATTTTTTTTGTTTTCGAGAAATTGAGCAAAATAGGAAAAAAGAAATCTGGATAGAAATAATTGGAAAAAGGCAGATTTAACATTCAGTGTAAGCGTCAGATTGAAGTGCCCAATCCACAAGCGGTACTCTAACCTCTCTACTCCAGTGTTTCCCAAAGTGTGGTACGCGTACCCCCAGGGGTACTGGAACAGTTTAGCGGGGGTACGCGTTCTTATGCGAAATATCTTGCAACAAACGAAAATTTCACAATTTTTTTATTTAAAAACAAATCTAGCCATGAAAATTTACGATTACGTATTTTTCTATTGTCTATTTTTTGCAAGTTTAACAGTTAATGATTAGTAGTCTCAACAGCCAGCTGTGATTTTTAACTTTTGTGCAATTTTTTTATAGTAAAAAATACATTAAGTTTTTTTCAGTTTTTTTTTTACGAAAAATTTAGAAAGGGTACATAAAACTTATAAGTTTGGGAAACACTGCTCTACTCTAACCTACTTTCCCTCCAAATTTCTATTTGACTATTTCCTTATTTGTTATTTAATACTGTAGTGCATCAAAAGTTAAATCGGATTACTCATTTTAAAAAGAGAAGTTTTATTAAATTATCCATGAAGTTGTTTTTTCAATTTAAGACACAAGTATCATTTATAAAATACGCTGAAGCATTTTTTGTCAATTTTTTTAAATGTTTACAAAATTTTCTCAATCTTCATTAAATTTAGGTTTCTGGGAATAATTTTGATCACTGTAAGGAAGTTTTAAATCATTTTAACAATATTCTAGGTCCATATCAATAAATAATGAAAAATTTTTTAAAAAAAGTATATTTTTATACTTACGATTAGGTCGGGGATACTTTTCCCTTTCCTTTCTCCAATGATTCAAAAGAGCAAAACGATATAAATCGCTTTTATCCATAATTCTCACTTTTTTAATTTCACAAAAAGACAACCAGCATTTGAGAAATCTCAAAACAAGAATGAGTAAAAAAGCACTTTTTTAATCGAACTAACAGATGCTTCGTTTGCAACAATGTGAACCATTGTTTAAATTATATCTTGCATAAAATTTTTATATAACTATCTATAACTTTATTGTTGTAAAAGTTTAAACGTTAAGTATTGTTGAAATTATTTTTAAAATGTAGTTACTCTCTAAATAAATGCAAGAAGAAATAATATTAATGATTGATTTCAGAATTATGTTAAGAAAAAATTAATTTCTTCCATACACTTTTATTTATTTAAATAATACAATTAGCATAGAAAAAATTATTTCAACTTTGCTTTAAGTAAAACGCATAAAAACAGGGAAGAAATTCTTATTTTCTTTACAAAAAAAGTTATTTTTTAGGAAGTTGACTCTTTAAAATTAAGCCTTCTCAAGGAGTTTATCTATATTTAGGGCAAATACTATACTGATCTTAATAATTTATTCCCAATGCACTATGCTGATCTTAAATAATTTTATAGATTAATTTATTTCTTTAATTTATTCTTTAATTTATTATATTTATATAGGGATTTAATAAAAATATAGGGATTTAAGAAAGAAGTGTCACCGCTAGTTCGGTATTACAGACGCCATTTTCGATTTGTATTTCGTCGAATTTATGTGGCGATGGAGGTACACAGATTCTATTCATGATAAATTTACACAGTATCTAACTGTTATTATATAATTCTGTGCACCTAAATCTGAGAATATTCAAGCTTAATGAAGAAGTGAGTTGTTTTTTTCCTTTGCTTTCTGCGCCTACTCCGTTAATTTTTGCTTCGATTCAAAATCCTTTTTATTGGGTTTATTAATTTTGCTTATATTGGGTTTATTGCAAGTTTTGGCTGATGTTTTGTGAAAATTTTCCAATGTTTTATTTAAATATCATTATGTTTTGGCTGCCATTCCTGTTCCGCGCAAACAGGAATAGCGCCAAACATAAGTCGCCAATTTCGCCAAGGGGCACCCTCAAGTATATTTTTCCCCATTACCGATACACAGGATTTTACTTCATTAAAAACAAATGTGCTTAATATTTTAGTTACAGTTTCAAAACTTTGATAGTTAAAGTATTGATTTTGACCTGGAGAACTTCTAAAAATCATGGAATCTTAATTCTAAGTTAATACAAAGCTCAGATTTACCTAGACAAATTTAGAATATAGTGGGGAATCTAATTCTACAGGGGCTAGTTCAAAAAAAAAAAATGCGTTTTAGTCTTAAGGTCGTAATTTATTCTTTAGAAAAATAAACAAATCAGCACCTCACTGTATTAAAGTAATTATTAACACAAGAATTTGAATAAATTTTAAAAATTATATTCTTCAGTTTTGAACTTATTGCTGCCATAGAGTGCATAGAAAACTGTTGCTGCACTACAGCAGTTTGAAGGAGTGGTTCGAAGAGTCCCGAAACGACTGAACGAGTGTGAAACACGACGAGGGAGCACTTTTGATTAGAAAATTTTGCATAAACAGGGTGCGTAGCGTTTGTAAAAAGTACTTAAAGGTGCTTTTCTGGGTATTTCGTTTTTAAAAGCTTTTAAAGGTGCTTTTTTCAGCTGGCGTTTTTAAAAAGTGCTTTTTTGCTGAATAATTTTTTTTCTTCCCTTCAGTGATATCTGGTGGATCCCATGCATTTCACGAAAAATGGGGAGTTTGCTACGCAATCATTTACGCGAACTTCATGTCGTACCCACGTTATGACTTGTGCATGCGCGCACACTTGAAACCGAAACCCGAGTGCTCCAATTCGGATAGAGAATATCAGATCCTTATGAAATGTTTTTCTTTTTAATTTATTTTAATTTTATTCTTGTTTATTTTATTTTACTTCTAATACTTTTTTTGACGTAGGGGGTAAGGGTACTTTTGTTCTGAGTTCAGGGTCAAGTTGAATTCACTCGGTGATGTGGGAAAGTACTGATTGTTTCGATTTACGCCCGTTTCTTTTTGGTTTTTTTTTTAACGCTAAAACTGTTTATAAAAAGTTTTTGTTTTTCAATAATATCATAGATTGAATATGAATTTTTTGAGTGCTTGAAAATTTTTGTAAAGTGCTTGAAAAGTTTTTAAAAAGTGCTTATTTTTGATTCAAAGATTTGGCTACGCTCCCTGCATTAAACTTTAAAACTATAAAAATCAATCAAATATTTCAACACTTTCGTTTTACAAAGTCCAAAAGACCATGTCGCCGGAAAACATCAAAAATCTTCTCCTGCTCTACCAACTGATATAATTGTTATAATTTGATGTGAAAACATATTGTTTAATTTTAGTTATAACAACAAAAAAAATGGTATGTATTTGAAAAATTAGCAAGTATGCTTTAAAAAAATAATTTAAACTGGGAAATATATACGGATTCTATGAAACAATAAAGAGAAAAAATAATTAATAATTTTTATAATTATGTAAATGATAAGAAATATTGCTTGTTAATGATACATAACGATAATCTTATGTAATAAATGGTTCAAATTTGTAACAACTTCTGCCTCACTTGTGTCTCTTATACTTTAAAATTTCTATATATATATGCTAGATTTATATATAACTGCATTTAATTTTTTTTCAGTTAATATTTTTTTAAATTTCATTTATTAATTTTTTTGTTCCTTTTTACATTAAAGTGTAAGCATTATAAAATAAAGATCTCAATATCACGAGTGATTATATGTTTTAATAACAATTGATAAATTGTCATTTTTTTAAAGCTCTAGAAGGTTTCACTCATAATACCCTTCGATTATCTCCATTTATTATTGTCCCTTTCCACAAACATGGATATGTTTAAAAAAAATACATAAAAATAATTAAATGAATAACAGAACGAAGATAATTTTGTTTATGAAATATGTAATTATAATTTTATTTCAAAGCATTTTGTTAATATTTTAATCACATAGGAATAAATGATTTGAAAAATAATCAACTACGCTTAAAAAAAAAAGCCTTTGTTCAGAATGTGTGATGAATTAGAAGTAATTTTAATTTATTAGCAGATTATAACATTAACCTTTTATAATCTAACAATTCAAATTGGAATTGTTTTATCCTATTGTTATCTTTTTTCTTAATGTGGCTGAATTATATTGATAGAGCATAATATTAAGCCTAAATAAAAACTAAGCTCTATTAGTGTTATATCATATGACATGAGCTCCAATTTTGATTAATAAATCATAAATTTCATGACTAGGAAATGACTCAATGCAGAATATATTGCTTAAAAATAAAAATCTCTCTCCTTTTTCTCGTGTAGCACACCTTTTTTCAGTAGCTCCCAATTATTTTTTTTTTTCTTCACAGAAAACATTTTAATTCACAAATTATGCAGTATTTAAATATTGGGTTGGAGATTTATGGGACATTTATTTTTTAGGCTTTCTGAATAAATATCACTATGAAGTGCAGAACTTCTTATTGGTCTCTTTTAATTTTATACTGAATATTTTTTTTGTTAATTTAAATTAAATGGCAGGATCAAATATAGACAGATATTTATTTACTTTTTTAAAATTCAATAACTGTGCAGTAGTTACATATTTTCAGAGTTTTAGGTTTTGAATAGCCCAAACTCTGTTGTAAATACTTTTTAAACAGTCATATCATTCGTGATATGTTATATTTATTAATTATATTTTTTTATTATTTTTGTAGAAAATAACTTCCAGCAAGAACATTGTTTGTCGGTGATAAAATCTCTCCTACAATGCTGTGAAAAGTGGAACTTTAAATCCAAATGCTGTGAAGGTTTCATTGAGTCTTCAGATATGGTTCCTGATTTGTAAACTCAATTAAAATGCATATTACTTATCATTACATTGTTGCTTTAGTTATTAGACTAATATTAATTATATATGGAATTATTCAAGACAATGTTTTAAAAGTCAAATACACTGATATTGACTACCATGTTTTCACTGATGCAGCAGAATATGTCTTAAAAGGGGACTCCCCTTTTAAACGTCATACATATCGATATACACCAATACTGGCATATATGTTGCTTCCGAATATATTGGTGCAAAATGCATTTGGTAAAATTATCTTTAGTGTTTTGGACATCTTCACTAGTATTCTCATATTTAAAGTACTTAAAAATCATGGTTATAATGCAGACATTTGTAAGAAAAGTTCATTTATGTGGTTGTATAACCCCTTAACAATGGTTATATCTACAAGAGGAAATGCTGAATCAATCATGTCAACTTTAGTGATCCTCTGTATTTATCTTTTTCAGAAAAATAAACCAAGTCTTTGTGGATTGGTGTATGGACTTTCCGTACATTTTAAAATTTATCCGTGTATTTATGCTATTTCATTTTACTTTGCTTATTCATCTGCTTATACTAGTCAAGATAATAAATTCAAATTTCTGTTTCTGCCTAATAAAAACAAATTATTTTATATGTTTTTCAGTGTAATTGGATTTGCCATTCCAACAGTTCTATTTGTATTTTTGTATGGTGAAGAGTACATATGGGAAGCACTGTTGTACCATGTGTCTAGAAAGGATATTCGACATAATTTCTCACCTTATTTCTATGTTTTATACTTATCTGAGGCCATGGATAGTCGCTTACCTATGTTTATCTCTGTGCTGGCCTTCATTACACAATTTTTGACTGTATTTATTACCGCATGGGTTTTTCACTCACCCAGGCTATTACCCATTTCAATGTTTATTCAAACTTTTTGTTTTGTTACCTTAAATAAGGTGTGCACATCGCAATACTTTTTGTGGTACATTTGTCTGTTTCCCCTGTCTTATCCATCATTAAATATAAAATTTAAACAAATTGCCACAGCGTTTGTTCTGTGGATGGCAAGTCAGGGATTGTGGCTTTTCCCAGCTTATTTATTAGAATTTAAAGGATATAATGTGTTTATATGGGTATGGATTGCTAGTCTGATTTTTTATTCTGTAAATATGTATTTGATTTGCTTGTTTGTTAAGCATGTTAAATGTAAGCATGATTCTAAAAAATATAGGTGAACAAAGTTGTTTCGCAAAGTATAATCAATTTTAAATTTTTGTTGAATATACTTCCTGAATGTTATTTTATTTTGTTAAAACATGTAGTTATCTGACAAGCGTCAAAAATTTATTTTTTTTTAGAAAAAAGATTATTACAAATAGATTGTTATAAAATTATTTTATAATTTTAAATATCAATTTTAAGCTTTTGTACTTCAAATAAAATATACATCACGTTGTTTTAAAATGATTTAAAGCTATGTTTAATAGCTTGTGAAAAATTTGGGAGCTAATTTTGCTTCATGTTTACCAAACAATTAGAATGAAATTTTTGCCTACTGGATTCTTCAAAATGATGTGGCCAAATGAAAAAGTAAAGCGTTCATGAAAAAATAATAAAAAATTCAGCAGGATTAAACTCGATTTGCAGCTGCTAGAAAGAGTTGTAAATTATATGCCAAAGCAATAGGAAAAAAAGAAAAAAACAATTTTACATCATTTTAGTTACATAGTAAAAGCCTGATTATCCAGAATTCAACTTAGAGAATGACTCAAATTAATTTGAGTGTTTCTTATAGATTTTAAATTTTTTTTTTCATGGTGTGGCATTTTTTTGTTGAAGATACAGTAATATGGAAATCTGAGATTTTCAGACAGTTCAAAGGAAGTTTTATTTTAAATTATTTTTTCTTCTCTGTTCCCTTTTTGATTTCAACCTAGCAATTTATTTTTTATAACAATTAGTATCTTATTCATCTTTAATAATTTATGTAAAATTTCAGTTTATTTCCCTTTATCTTAATTCTATAAGTGGGGATTCTGATAAACTTTAATTTTTTAATGGTGCTTTTATTGTGACGCTACATTTTTCAAAGAAGTACAATAATATTGAAACACAGGATTTGTGCTATTAAATAAGTAGAACAGATGGTAATTAAGTAAATGTTATTGATGTCGCTACGAATTAAAAGCCGTTTTTTTTATTGCGTTTTTTTGCCATTTAGCACATTATTATTCTATATATAATAATGTTTTTGAACAACTAACTTTTATTGCTATTTTTTATAATTGCTAGTTCTGATAATTTTTTTTTGTTGTTTATTATTATTATTAAAGCATGGCACCTTACAAATGTAATGAAGAAAATTAGATTTTATGCATTCAAGTATCTGGAATTTTATTTAGAATGTTACAATTTCCGCACATTCTGAATAGACAATCTTTTACCATACTGTATTTCTTGTACCATATTGTATTAGATTTACATCTGTATTTCCACATTTACTACTACATTGTCGCAAATTTACTACCAAGAGTACTACAGGAGTTGCTCCAAGTTATGGTCAGATGCCTGAAAAATGCAATACATCGATGCTACAGGAAACTACTCCCCTTCTCAACCATGCAACCAGTTTTTTGAACGCATCCTGGAAAAAACTTAAGAGTCCCCATTTTTCTGTCTTTTTTTTTCACTCTTTTTTATGTAAATTTTATTGTACTCTAATCAATTATGTATTTACGTTTTTCTGAATGACATAAATTATGAATTTATTGCTGTGTTCTTGTCTACGTATATGTAGAGGGAGCTTAAAGATTTTATTTTTTGTGCTGTATGAATATATTTAGTTAAATTTGGTTGTCAAAAGCAAAAGTATCACTAATAAATAAATTCTTAAATAATTTTGTAGTTCCACTTTATTAAAGTGTTGTAAATTTAGTTTAGAACAACTATTGTTCATTTATTTAATTAACTAAGAGTTATTTAATTATTCATTTAACTAATTAACTAAACATTTATTTAATTAACTATTAATTAACTACTGCTCACCAACCTCTTGCTAACCTCTCATTCATCTTTCCCTCTCCCTACTTAAAATTAGATATCTTAAAAAATATTTTGCCCATAAAATAAATAATTATTATAGTTTTATATTAGAACATTTTGTTAAAATGTTGATCGTAATAAAATGGACGATTACTTTGACGAACCATGGACATTAATGGACGAACCATTTTTAAAACTTGAAAATTAACCGCAGGTGGTTATCACAAGATACGTTTTTACCGTTTTTAAAACAATTCAAAAAATTAACAATTATAATATTTTTGTAAAAATGTAAACATTTTTGTACAGTTTATACAATTTAAAAAATTAGAATTCTAAAATAACTTTTAATAAATAATTTTTAAGACGCCCTTCTTTTTCCGCCAAAATTGCCGAACGAGAGGGAGCCGGACCTTCTAGTAGGTGTTGGCTGGACGCGTGACTTAGTCCTAATTCTTTAAAAAGCATTATTTCATGTCTGGTAAAACCTTAGAAAAACAACCCAATATGGTGATTTTGGTGTTTTCGAGCCATTTTTGTTTTCAGACTATCTTTTGCTTTTTAAAAATCTATAGAAATTTGCTGATAGACTCAAACTGTTAGGATTTTGACTCAATGATAGCACATAATAAGAGCCAAATTATATATTTTTTACTTTCAGACTCCTTCCTTAACTGGAAAAAAAAATATTTCATTAGGTAAAGATAATATTCTCGTAGCTATTTATTACATGATGAAACACCATTCGTGTTTAATAAGTTATTATGTAATTAGTTATTATGTTACGTCAGCGTTTCCATCTTTAATAGTTTATTCTAAAATGCAAACACGCAACTTTTAATTATGAGCATCGTATAGCAATTTTCGGACTATTTTTCATTCATAAAATATGAGAGCTGCATTTTATTAAATACAAATGCTTATGCAATTATTATAGTATAAGCATTTCATAATAAGTCCGACTACGAACTTTTTCACGGATTCATCAATTTTGATAAGTGTTTAGATCGTGTGCATTAAAATACCCTTATGTATGTAAGACCAAGCATCTAGAGATAAGAAATGGAATTTAGCACTGTAAGTAATATTTAAGTGTATTTAATAGCAAGAAAAATAACAATTACAAAACGCTTTTCCAGTAGACAAAAAACAGACATTAATTTTATTTTTGTCGATCTCAAAACGAAAAAACGTAACTAACTTTCTTTTTGTTTTGTATACGTGATTGTCATAATCAGAGATTGGTTAAAATTTCCATTGGAAATAAAGCGATATACTTTGCTTGCACTATTTAGGATGTGATTGTAATTTGTAATAGCGCCAAATCCAAAATTCCGTTGAAAATTCAAGTACTACAGCCAGTCGGAAAGTGGCAAAAATTTTGATTGACGATTTGAAGATAAATACTGATTGTAGCGTTAAGGAAATGATTGAATATTTAATTACCATCCAGAAAAAACTACAGTTAATACATTGTATCTGCAAGGCAGCTAGTGGTGAGGAAAAAAATGACTAATCTTGCTATATTGCTTAGTAACTAAACTAAATTACCTTGTAATTAGATTAATCTTATTATTACTTCATTGTAAAATTTGCACAAGTTTTAATTTTGAAAAACAATGACGAACTTGAATTTTTTTTAATCGTAATTTTTAATATATATTTATATTTTTTTAGAACAATATATTAAGAAATTAATAAAGATAATGTAAAAAAGAATACAAAGTTCTTGGAATTATTACCTTTTTTTAGTTAACGCCGATACAGGTAAGTACTGGGATCTTTAATGAAACTTAACAACTGTCAGTGAGGACAAAGAATATTAAAGCACTCAGAATTTTCTATCAACAATTTAATTTCATTTTTTTGGAGGAGGGGGTAATTCTATGATTATGAATTTTCGCATTAATTAAGAAAATTATTAATTATTGAGTTTTGTAACCTTTATTCTTTAATCTAAAATATGATTACTAAAATTTAAACGCATCCAACCAATTAATTTTTGGCGAATCCAACATGGAATTAGTTAATATTAACTAAAAAATAATAATAATTGTTTGATCGATATTAAGAAATTAATCAATTCAGGTGTATTTATCAATAAAATAAAATAAAAGCGTTTTACTTCTAAGGAAACCACGTTGTTGGGCACGAAAAAATGTAAACAAATGCATAACGTTTTAAAAATTTTACATAAAATAAATGCCTTGACATTTGAAATAAAAATTAACTTTTGTTAAATACTAGGGAGGTTAAATCCCCTTTTCCCTGCCGCTCCCCAACACCGATGATTGCTTTGCAATATTTAATGTTTCTTGCCATAAGACAGTTTTTTTTTCTTTTTTTACGAAATTTGAAATTATTCACTTCAAATAGGTGGTGGAAAGTAGATAAAAAAATCAAGCTTTTTTTAAAGAAAGTTCTAAAACCAAACCATTAAATTTTTTTTTACTGAAAATTTTGATGCATTTCATATACATTGGATTCAGGTAGATAAATAACGCATAACTTATAATAAATAACTTATCTATTAGTTATTTAGGTAGATAATAATGCATAACTTACATATTTTGTTTGTTTGTTTTCATACAGTAATGCATTCAAAAGAACATGTTTTGAAATACCCACTTTCTCCACGAGTGGGGTAAAGTGGGTATGGTTCTTATAATTGGTATATATTCCACTAAAAAACGCGTGTAAGTATAGTTTTAGAAATAAAAATGCTCTTAAATAAATGTGTCATGATTTTATTTAAAAAAATAAATGCTGAAAAAAATTTTTTTTCTTCGTATTATTAAGTTAAAGATTTAATGTTCATGGTCATCGAAATTTGGTTTCACTTTGAATGCAGCATATTTTGCTGAACTCTAAACAATTTCATCAAAAAACAAGAAAACTGTTATAGTTTCTGGTTTATTTGAAATATAAATAGGAATGGTTAAAATTAATGTCTATGGTGGTAATTTATAGTGTTTTTACTATTTATAGCAGGCATGTATTTTTATTCAATTAAGTTATTTTAAGGAAATTATTTTGTTTTCCATGAAATAGCCTACATATGAAGGCAGAAACTTGCGCGAAAACTTATCTACATATTTAAATATGCTAAGTTGTACCATTATGTTAGTTTGGTAATTTTTTTTTAACTGTATACTATGACTGTTACATTATTTTTATTTCTTTCCTATCATTCTTCTCTTTAAAAAATAAAATTTAAAAGAAGTATTGTTTTCAGTGTTAAAATTACTAAATAGAGCTATAGTCAAACTAGTAAATTATTTTTTTAGCTAATTCTTAGCTTAAGAAAGTATTTAATAATTAGATACTTTTTAAAGCTAGCACAGAAGTAAAAAATATCCCTACCATACACCACTTAACTAAGTCTAATTATCTACTCACTTTACCCCACCTGACCCTAGATGTTCGAAAAAGAATACACGCTTGCTTACGCTTGGGTCTCCACTTTCCACGTCCAAACATTTCCGTTATGCTTCGATTAAGATCTATTAGAGAACATAAGTAATTTTTCTAAGTAATCATTTCTTAAAATCATATATAAAATTAAAAGTATATATTGATTATAACAAATTTGGTGAGGGCACTATAGTCTGTCTAAGCTAAGAACTCCTCCCACCACAAAGTCTGAGGCCGCCTGGTGCTATGGAAACAAGAATGTTGCATTTTAGAGAGGGTAGCTTCCTTCACTCTATGACTAACACAATAGACAGAAGAAAAAGATTCCCTTTCTCCCGCCGACCACAGCCAAAACCACTACAAAACAGTGATCCCGCACCCCTACTTGAAATAGTCTCACCTCGTTACCATAGTCACCGCCACAGGTACAGACGAATGTCTGGAGGAGTTCTTATTTTAGACAAACTATACCCTATTTTATTATTGCTGACCAAACGGAAGCATATAAGTATTAAAAACGATTTGTGTATGCATCATATTGTGCAAGAAGCTGATTGTTAAGAAGCAAATCATTTAAAAAATCTCTATTAATAGTAATTTACAATAGTATATAAAGGTAACTTGCGCAAAAAATAATAATTTTAAAACTGTTAATAAGATTAGACACTGATTTAAACAACTTAATCTTAAATCGTAGCGATGAAATACGAAGAATACCTTCATGACTTTCATTAATTAATCTGATGACAATCGAAACGATATGGTAATCAATACCATGTGATCATACCATGTGATTTACCGGCCAATAAAAATGTCCCGGCAGTAATAGAAAATAGTGTAAGATCATTATGTTTTTATGTTATACAAAAAAAAAAATGAATTTCTTATTAGTGAAACATTTAAAATATTATATGTGTTTATTAGTTAAAAAACATATGCTCATATAGTAAAAAAACTAAATATTTTTTCGCATTCGAGAAAGTATCATTTCTCCTCAACGGTATTTGACATTTAAATATCAATTTATAACTTCGAATGTGCACACATCTTTTTGTTCGTTTTATTTTTCCACGAATTAAAAAAATAGGTTTTATTATGGAAAAACCTGTGTTTCACAACCTATTCAAAATCCGATTTTTAAATTACAAAGAGGTTTTTTTAAAGTATACCCTTTTCAAATGTGTAAAAAGAGAACTGATTCTCTGTAATTTCTAGAATTTAGGCTTTTAATTTTTTTATTGTCTGAGTTCGAAAGAAAGAAAAAACAATTTAATTAGAACTTTTTATCAATTTTTAGATAAGAAAGGAAAGCATTGTTCGTTTTCCGTTGGATAATTCCCATATCGAGAGTAAAGCAGTCGAAGAAAAGGAAGGAAATCCGAAAAAAATTGGGAAAATTGTATGGGCAGCTATAAAATGCTTTGTCTTCGTTGCTTGTGTAGGAGGATTCGCATACCAGATAACGGAGTTTATAACCCATTTCTACTCTTACCCAACAGTTGTTACAATAGATCTACAAGAACCTGATTCTTTTGTCATACCTGCATTAACAGTCTGCAATCTTAATCTGTAAGTATTAAGTGAAAATTAATACATCTCATAAGAAAATTAAATACAAAGTTTGGTCAAAAAGAAAACAAATATTGGTGTGCGTAGGTAAATTGAAAAATCGGTCTCTTTCCAGCTGTAGTTGCAGCTATAATAGTTTTTAATTTTTTTTAAAAATTTATCACAGATTTACAGCTTTGTGTAGGATTATTGCAATAAACCTTTAAATTAGGTTATTTATAATGGACCTTTCTTTTTCAGGGTTTATTAAAAACTGCCTGAAATAAATCAGGCTCATTAATTTGATCAATGAATACTATATTTCTAATTAGCTTAAACTTATGTGGGCTCATTACAATCAGCCTAAAATGTGTCGAGCTGATTAGAAAATAGTGGAGACTTTTCCAATTTGCCTGGCGCATTATTAAGTGACGGCGATTGTTAGCGAAAAATCAAAGAGGATTCAACTATCCAACAACAGAGAGCCTGCTTGCGCAAATGTAATGCTTTATTGCATATTATGGTAAAATTGGTTTTAGCTTTCGTGGTTGTTTGTCATTTTTAAGCTGAGTCTGATTTAGTAGAATGCATTCGATAAAGTGACGATGGGTTTTTCTTCAAGCTGAAAACATCTCTTTCAAGCACTCAAATTTTACCTTTTTAAGTCGAACATAAAAAGGCTGTGATGCTTACCTAGACATCCTCACGTTTCTCTGATCTTCAGAAGAAAAGGTAACATTCAGGAACACGTCTGGACACTATCTATAGCTATGGAAAATTTGTTAATTTTTCTTTTCACCTTACCACCCACCAACCTTTTCACCTTAACATCTAACCATGTTTTTTAGGACTCTTTTAACAGCCATAGTAGGAATGCCACGTAATTTTGATCCCAGTCAAATGATATGGACAGCGTCCGAGCTGGTACTCTTTCTAAATTTCCACACCACAACAAATTAGAGGACAGTCACTTCAGATTTTACGCGTATACCCAACGATGGTTTAGTCAGTTGACACGATCGATTTCACAACCCTTCACTCACTCTTAGATGACTGTGCTACCGGGGAACTTTTAATTTTTCTATGTGGAATTAAAGTAAGATACTTAAAGTGCAGACCTCGTATTATATGGTTTTGTGCAATTTCTCAAGTATACATGATTTATAAACTTTGTAATAGTAGTAGTAGTATTTTATTTACGTCATATTAGAGCTGCATAATGGATTATTGGTGACGGTCTTGGAAACATCCATGTGGATGATCCGAAGACATGTCATCACAATTTTGATCCTCTGCTGAGGGTACGGCTCCTCCGCTTTGGTAGACTGACGACCTGCGCACGAAGTCGAGCACTTTACGGTAGAACGAGAACCGTTAACGCACATCTTCGATTCAATCGCAGGCTGATCTAAGTGGTCACCCATCTGCTAACTAATTTCAACTAGAGATGTTTGACTTCGGTGATCTACTGGTAAACGTGTCTTACGATCACACAGTGGGATTTAGTAATTTCTAAGAATTAAACTTTGTAATTAGTCTTCCTTTTCATTCATAAAAAATATTTCTGCATCCAAAATCAGCAGATGTTTCCTTTCTTTTTAAGAATAAAAAGAAGTGCCTACTGCGAAAAATTTCCAGAGGAGTGCATATCTTTGAAAAAAGAAGATTATAACTCATTTTGTACTGAAAGCCCACACTATTGTCGATTGGATAATGATCCTTTTACGTTTAAGGTAAGCACTGTTATACGCGTACTCTGCAACCATGTCTCATAATACGCATTTAAAGAATCCTTGATAAAAATGAAAGCATTAGAATCTACACATTAGAGGTCATAAATTATAATTCAAGAGTGAAAAGTTGTCAAAATATAACGAATTATCTCAAGCAAAATGGAATTGAAATCATTTAAAAGAGATTGTTAGTTGCATGATTCTATGAAGTGTTTGACTTGGCGCAAATTAGCTGCCACCATATTTTGTACTCAATACTACAAATATTTATAAGATAGACACATCAGGTAAGATAAGATACACATAAGAGCCTGTAAATTATTTTTACGATACAATTTAAATTAAGAATCATTAATATTGGATACACTAATTCTTAAATAAAAATTATTTTGTAAACAAACATCTCATAGCACATAGATAATATTAAAACGAATTCGAACCACTGATCTCTATATGTTACTGGGTTGTTGATGCACGTCAAAATAACGGTAGAAAAGATGCCCAAAAAATTTGCTAACTCATCCTAAACTTTGGTTGAATTTTCGTATTTAACATTACCCATACAGCAGAGATAAGTATCAATTACGTGAAAATAACGTTAAATTGCCACAAGGTTTAGAGCAAAAAAACGTTTTTTCAAAACATTTTATTTCCGTTTCAAGTGGTAATCTCGAATTAGTTAAAAAAACGTTAATATTTGGGTTGTTTTTAACGTAAAAATGACCATTTTTTGCTCTTATTTTGACTAAGGTGAATTTCGTAACCAATTTTTCACGTTATTTTAAACAAGCAGATTTCTTTTTTAACGTATTTTTTACGTTCTTTTAACCAATCTATTTACGTTTATTTTTGGTTCTATAAATTCGTTTTTTTCACCATGAATATTTACGTGTTTTTAACGCTTATATTTATTAAAATAACGTAAATTTTACGTTATTTTAACCAAAATACAAACGTATTTTAACCATAGAATTTACGTACCGTAAACCGGGGCGAGTCTACCCATTTTTTCAGTTTGTCAACTTTCAAGTGGTCAAACTTTTGTAAATATTAAAGAAGAAAGGCTTTTAATATGTGTTTCAGAATCGCTATTTATCCCTCTTTAAAGCTATGAAATCGATTTTAGAAAATATTAACAGTTACGCTGTTACTGTATATTTTTATAGAACTGCTGACAAATCTCTCGTATGGGGCGAGTCTACCCATTCTACTAAAATGAATGTTAACATTGTANTTGTTATCAATATTTTTAACGTTTATTTTGAGTTTGGTGAATTAATAAATTTTTCGCGTAAATTTAATTAAATTAAGTTCAATCTAACGTAATTTTAACCGAATTTTAACAATAACATATTTTAAGTTGTTTTTTTTTTAACTAAGAAGGAAAGAAACTATTCCGTATTTTAATGTTTACGCTGCACTAATTACACTAAAAAATATGGCATTTACTTTTTATTTAAAAAAAAAACTTTTAATTCTTTTCAAACTAAAATAACGGAAAATAGCCGATATTCATGCCTTTTTTTAAGAATCCTAGAACAAGCTTTTTGTTTTTAATCTCACACTTTTTGTAAAGTTTTACAATTCAATTTATAACTCAACGAATATGGAATGCAAATCTTTCTACCTCTTCTCAGCAACATACTGGTTTATTTACTAATCTACAATGGGCGTGAAAGCACTTTTAAATCATTATTTTTAAACTACAGAATCATTTGAATTAAAAATAAACAAACTACCAGTTTATCGGCAGTTCTTTCTTGGAAGTTTCCGAATAGTTTCACTGTTAAAAGAAAGAAAGAATGGTTCATTTTATAATTAAATTATTTCGTTATTGGCCATGGAAATAACTAACAGGTGGCGTAGAGCAGAACTTTCTATCTATGACAACAAATCGCATGCTTTCACCATTAGCGTGTGGAAAGACATAGGAGAAGAAGAACATTAATTTCTATCTTGATTTTCAAATAGATTAAAATCCTTTAAGTTAGGAAAATACACAAAACTGAAAACTACGTTAAACATAGTTCTAAAAGAAACCGTCACGGAAATTTAAAAAAAAATATTTTTGATAGCTATTAATACGAAAAATATTAAGAAAGAGAAAAATATCTTTGTAAATTCCAGTACAACTGAGAAGAAGAGGAGAGGGAAGGGGGTAGGTCAAGACATGGAAAAGATCTTCTCTCCAGATGGCGAATTCGAGCTTTGCGATCGCGAATAAGAAATACATTTTTGCTACTTTTCTTATTATTGTTGTCGCCAAGTATCAAGAGATGAACAAAAGGCATACTATGTTCCTCTTCTCTAGGAATGAGATATATAAAAAAAAGGTTGGATTATACGAATCCTGAAGTACCATCTTTGCTCAACACCTGTTTTAACCAACAGATGATAAATGGAGTGGACGGGAGTGTATTTTTTAAAAATCGTGCGCGAAAAACGATAATCGACGTAAAAAAACGATAAGATTCGACCACAAAGAATTTAATTCAAGTATTTTAAGTACCATTTTTATAAATTGTGTCCCGATAAAAATATAATTACAAAAAATTTTTTCGTTAAAGCATTTTGTTTATTATGCCTAAATCTAAACTTTTTTTCCTTAAAAAATAGTTAAGCATCGCTTTTCACAAAGAATAAAATGGAAGTATCCGCGTTTAATGAGTCAAGAGCTGAATGCGGCTATGCTACGCCCAACTAAAATAAAATGAAAACAAATTTAAACGAGACAAGGGACAGTTTTTTAAAAAAAATAAAAATTAGATTAAACAATGAATAGTCATTAAAGTACTTTGGAATCATCATAACTATAAATACCATATCACCATATCTTTGAAAGGGGGGGAGGGTATTAAGGGTAGAGTTATCGATAAATATACATATATATACATGACATATACATATATATACATGACATATACGATAAATATACATATATATACGATAAATATACATGTATTTATCAATATACATATATATATTCAACAAAGGATGAAACAAAGGAAAATTATAGACATATGCAAAAGGGGGGGGGGAATAATAATGTAAAAAATAACAAACAACTGATTAAAAAAAAAAGATTAAATTTTTGGAGAAAAAAAAATCCGGAAGATAAAAGATATAATCTTTTCATCAGCCCACACGATTATATCCGCAAGAAAGAGTGCTTTCTGATATTGTATCAATATAGCCAAAGCAAAATATATTAATACAATAGTGTGAGGAGCACTCAAAAAAAATTTTTTTAAAAAATTACAACAAATAAAATAGAACACAATAAGTAAAAATAACACGTAAAAACAGAAAATAAAATAAAATAAAAAGAAAAAACAGCATAAAACAAAACAAAAACAATAAAGCGAGTAGCGAAATCAGATGTACTTACATGAACGGGAAATTTTTCAAGAATGATTTAAAAATATTTTCGCAACAAGATTGCCAGATTACAAAATATGAAAACAAAAGCGCAAATTGAGTGTAAATAGATGATGGCCAAGTACCAGATA